CTTTTTTAGATCTAGTTAAAATACACAATTTGTGCGAGTAAAACTGATCTCATATTCTAGATCACATACCCTACAAATCTAAGATCACTCACATGATGTCTGAATTAATTGGACCTAAGCATGAATGGTTTTGGAGGAATCACCATTGCAGATTTCATTAGCCTGCTTAAGTGTCCGACATATCTCAGTTTCTCTCATTCAGTGTTTAGTGGATGAATCCCCTTTCATCTTGGCAATCTATTTAGCTTACTTTACCTTGATCTCAACATGGGTCCAAGTTTCAGTTATGAACTGGAGGTGGACAACCTTCAACGGCTCTTTGGCCTATTTGTAAATATGTTTATTTTCTATGTTTTAATATGAAGCTTAGTACTTTTTTTATGAGGTTTACAGATAATTATCAATGAAAGACGGTTGCTGGTTGCTATGGAACCTAGGGAATTACCCTAGGATTCATGGTTTCTATCCACCACCTAGGCAACAAGGCGCTCTCCTATCACCTTGGCACCTTCTCTTCTGGAGTTACACTTGCCTATTGTCAACTTTACAATTTCCCTTGGAGAAGGTGAAGTAGGTATGCTAGCTGATGTATTGGTTTGTTTTATTTCCTAGTCGCCACCGAAGGAAATCCAAGTGGCAATAATTTCTGGAACCCAGTGGTAGACAAATTCTCTAAGAAAATAGTTACTTGGAAGATGTACCTTTCCTTGGGGGGTTGCATAACATCTATGATACTGAAATACCCACACAAGGGTTCTGTATTGTATTGGATACTTCAATGTTTAGTGTAATTTTAATATCTAATATCATATCCAGCTGTATCCAGGTGACACAGCATAACATCAATCAAATCAATTCTAAGCTATCCTACCTGACTTTAGGATCTCAGCTCTAGAAGCTAAGAGACTTGAAAAGATTACAAGGTATCACCACATCAATTGTGTGAAGATTGAGTAGGTTGGTGGAAAGGAACTCTGCTTTAGTGGGCATGTGGTTGTGAAGATTCATATTGGACTCAGATAAGCTATGGCACAACGTAGCTGTAATCATGCATGACATGACAGGAAATGGGTGGATGATGGCTTGGCTGGAAGAGCCTCCCTAGCCTCTCTTTGGAAGGCCATTTTAGGTTTACTTCCAATTTTTAGAACAAAATTTTGGGAAGACGTCCGGTGGAGTGACAGACCCTTGAAAGACCCTTTCTTCTCATATATTCCATCTCTTCCTGCAAAAGTGAATGCCTCTCATTTTGTATCTAGTTCCAAGTTGGGTTTGTCTTAGCATTTAGGTTTACAGAGAGGCTTGTGGGACTATGAAACATCAGAAACCCTAGACCTGGTTAATTTGTTAAAAGGTACATTTTTGGATCATTTAAAACCTGATACATATGAACTCTAAACACTCAGTCTTCTTGTCTTACGGTGCTTCTTTGAAGTGGTTTCTTCTAACCCCACAGCAATGCGATCTTATCTATTTTTTATTGGCAAGCTTATCTAGTAAAAGGCAATTTCGTATATTGCAATTCCACCTAAGGATAGGGCATTCTTCTTTCTTTCTTGAAGTGTACGCCTCAGAGGCATCCACATCTCCAGCGTACACCTTACGGCATTTTTTGAGCACATTGCTTGGAGGTGTGCCTCCAGGAGTACGCCTCTCGCACTTCTGGTGTTTGTTGCTTCTCAAGTGCTTTCTTTGTAATGCAAACTATAAATCTACCTTCCATCCATTGATTTCCTGCTTACTTGTCTCTTGTATTTGGGAGTGATTCTTTTCATTCTTTTGTTGCAAGTAGACCCCCTAGAGATGTAGCAAATCTATTTAAACCATCATTCTTCACACTATCAAAGAAGATGGGGAAGATAATGTGGAGGTTCACAAGGAGAACAATATTATGGTCTATATGGGAGGAGAGAAACATGAAAATATTCAAAGATAAAGACAAAGGACACTGTTATTAAAAAAAAAAAAAAACTCTTGATTAGAGTGATCTATGGAAATTTCTACATGGCTATTGTCTTCAACTAGAGCCATCACCACATGGATTGGCATCCCCTAGATCCCAACCAAGTAAAGTTAAAGTTTAATGGTTGTAGTATGAGAAACCCTGGTAACTCAGGCATCGGAAGAGTATTCAAGAGGAAAGATGGGACCTTTGTAGCATGTCTCATGCAAAAAGGGAGGTTTCAAGCATGCCTCATGCAAAAAGGGAGGTTTCAAGCATGCCTCATGCAAAAAGGCGTTTTAGGCATACGCCCCAGAGGCATCAACACCTCTGGCATATGCCTCAGAGAATTTTGGGGGTGCCTTACCTGGAGGAGCGCCTCCAAGCATATGCCTCTCATGCCTTTTAAAACACTGTTTCAAGGTTGTAGTGGGATGGATAAGGAAGGATTATCTAGGTTTATGGCAATACAGGCATATTTTGAAGAAAGTTGAACAGTTATCAAGAGAGAAGGAAGCACTGCCACATGGGATCAAAGATAACAAAGCACACAGGGTTGGTAGCAGGGCTAGCTCAACACTAGGATGTAACCAGAACTGCACATATTGATCTTTCCAATAAATCAATATAGATCAAAAGTTAACAACCACAAAGATGTCATAAAGCAAATATGTATTACAAAAAATTTAACATTTATGAATGAAACAAGAAGAAAATTTATTTCCCACAGAAAAGGGGGGAAAGAGAGATCAATTCTCAGGGCAGCAGCATATGATCTAATCTGTAAAAGGCAAGCAAAGTAAGGTAATGGGACCATAAAATTTACTTATAAAGAAGGAATTTCATTAAATTAAAAGAAGGTACTTGGTCATGCCAAACCCAATCTTTCCCTTACTAAATAAAAGATAAGGAATTTCATTAAATTAATAGAAAATTGTTTGTCTGATCAGATAAGGAATTACTAAATAAAAGATCATGCCAAACAATTCCATACTATAACAAGTCTCATCCCAATCTTGCTAATCCATCCAATGATCACCCTAAAGGAAAACTACATGCTATTTCAAAACCCCATCACAGTGATTTCATTGTCCGTACTTACAGAACTTTTCTTTCTCCACACAACTGTCTAATCAGATATTGACCTGTATCTTTAAGTTGGGAACTCAAGTTAGCATTAATGTTTTAAAATGCGGAGGCATGACGCGAGGCGTTCCACTACCTAGAGGTGTGAGGCATAGTTCAGAACGTAAGAGGCGTAAGCCTCCCGAACACAAGGAGGCATAAGCCTCCTTAAGAGGAGGGGGGTCAAGAGGAAGGGGAGGAGGAAGAAGTGGAAGGGGAATCTCATTTTTTCTTTATTTTTAATAAAAATCTTTTATCTTAAGGGGGATCTCATGCCAGACCACTTTCTTTCCCCTTCTCTTTTCTTCCCTTCCCTATCCTTTTCTCTTTTTTTTCTTCTCTTTCTTTCTTTTTCTTTCCCTTCCCTTTCTTTTCTTTTCCTTTCCTTTCCTTTCCTTTTTTTTTTTTTCTTTTTTCTTCTTTTCTTCAGTCTTTTTATATCAGGTGTGCATGAAGCGTATGCCTCTAGCACGCCTGACGCCTCATGAAAAAAGCGCATGAGGCGTAAGCCTCTTGCACCTGAGGCATATGCCTCAAAAGTGTCAGCGCCTCTGGCATATGCCTCAGGGCGTTTTGGGAGTGCCTCGCCTAGAGGCATGCCTCCAGGTGTATCCCTCCCATGCCTTTTAAAACACTAGTTAGCATCTAATGCTCTAATTCTCCAGGAATAATTAAGATAGGGTCTAATGATAAGCATGAGTAGCATTAGCAGTATAGCAAATGTACATCCACTATGCATCACAGACTTTCAGAAGCAACATAATACTGACCTTTTCAGCAATAATGCCCATACTAGCCCATGAAGGAACAATGAAAAATATTATCCTTTTCAGTTGCCTGAAGCATAAGCCCCTATACAATGTAGGGAGCTATTGTTGCTTCCGACCTGTGTTGACGACTGATGCAAATTCAGAGCTTAGAGCAGAATCCATTGATTAATCCTTTTCCTTCTTTTTTTTTGATGAATAACACATTGACTAATCCTCCATAATAGTCCTGCTGTCCAACCACATGCCCTTCCTGGCCTCTCCCCAGTATGACCCTTTTTATGCCCAATTGTTTCTCATGATGAACTTGAATAAGTGTAAGCTCTGTTACTAGACCATAACGAGGCTGCCTTTGCACTCTGTTCTGAGAGCATTAGGCATCGGCTGGTCATCCTGCCGAGATGAATTGTATGAGTAACTGTTTAAGAGAAGAGGAGAGAGAGAGAGGGAGGGAAGGAGGGAGGGAGAGAGTATTTATTTCCACCACACATTACTGGCAAATAAAGAAAATCACCAGTAAAATGGGAAGACACCAGCATCTTTCTGGAAGCAGCTAAAGGTGCAATGGTTAAAGTAGAATTGCCAGCATCCGTCATAAACTGGTAGTTTCAACCACCAATAAACACCAGGCTACTTTCAGTACCTACAATTTGGGCTACACCTTTCCTGCATCTTAATTTGTCCCAAGTCTTCCTGGAACACTCCAGAAAGCTGGCCAGAGAAATGGTCTTTCTAGTTGTTAAAACAGCTTGTTCTTCTCAGGCAAGTATTTTTAATGCTACAGTGCTACCATCATCTTGCCTCAGATCAGAAGAAGACTAATTTAATAGGGACATGGAAAACTAAAACATATGACATGATAAAAAAGAAACATCAGGTGCAGGAACTACAATGAATGGAGCTATACCCTAAAATAATAATCATATGAAGATAAACTACAAAAAATAACTCATAGCAACAAACAAGCCAAACAAATTAAGTGAATGATAATATGTATACTTTCAATCAGTAAGTACAACTATGAAGATTAGATAGATATGTGGGCAACCCTGTCTGCTTGAGTGCTTGTTGTATTATTTGATTTCAGCTTAATAAAATTTCACTTTACCTTCTTCGGGAAAAAAAGGAAAAAAAAAAAAAAAAACAGTAACTACAAGAAGATTCAATGGATATAAAATGCAAACCAAAATTTCATATTCAATTCTTTTCATTCTACAACTTTTGAACTTCACTCCACCATCAATATCAGCTCTTTTTTCGTAAGTAACCATTAATATCAGTTGGAGATGCAACCATGATACACATCCATCAAATATGGAACTTGGTCTAAATTCTTATTCACATAAGTTGCAAGGAAACTTGACTTCTTACGTAAAATTGCTGCAATGAAATTTGTGTCGCTGCGTATCAGCTTCTTTGAATGCAAAACCTTTAAAACCATATACCTTGGCTTAACCCATGTATCTAACGCATGCATAATAAGCTTAGGGTGTGAAATTATCAGTGAGGGCTCCAACTTCATGGTGTTGACAAAGAAATCCATAGCTCTATTGAGCTTCTTCTCTGAACATGCCAAACAAAATGGATTTTGCTTAAAAGCCAAAAGGATCTGTTCTTCAGACCACCCAAAGCTCTTAAAAGCCTCCATTTTTCTGTTCCATGTTGACTCACTCATTGAAGTCATTACATGAACAGAATGTAAAAACATGGTAGAACTTGGTGGGATGCCCAACTTCTTGACAGTCCTGATGATACTGGGCATCCTGTCTGTGCTCTGCATTACAACCCTGGGTTGGGTCATGATCAGTTTAGAGATATTGGCGATAGCTACCCCTTCTCTAATTAAAAGAGAAACATTAGGTTCAAGAGTTTGCTTCAGAGGGAACGTCAAGATCCATGACGAGCGCCTTATTGCTGCTAGAACCTTCTCTTTGGTCTCGAGATATGTCTTGAGGATTTCATACGAAGGCTTCAAGTGATCATCCAAACTTCTGAAGAGAATGGACGGATTGGAGCTTAGCATGTTAGGTAGAGCTGAACCTGAGAAGCCGATATCAAGGAGGAACTCTATCTTGGGCTTGAGGGTTTCCTCTAAACTAGATTGGAGGACGCTAGGGCGCCTGGTTAAGAGTTTCACGATGTGGGTTTTGGAGAAGCCATGGGATTTGAGGAAGGAAAGAATAGAGTCGTGCTTGTGTGAGCACGATTCGTCGAGTTGGATCTTTTGGGATGTTGAGAGAGCAGTTTCTAAGGGGAACCCACATGAGTTTATGAGGTATTGAACTGTGAATGATGATGTTTTATCTGCTGAAACTCTTGCACTTGTTACTGTTGTGAAGAATTTGGGAGATGGGTGTTGTATGAGATGCAAGTACAGTAACAGTTTATATGAAAACCGAGACATTTGAATCTTGTGAGGGAGAAAAGATAAAATATCAAAGATCAAAGAAACCCAGACCCAGAGCGCTTTCTGGGTGAAACAGAGAGTACCTTCTCCAACTGGCTCTTCTTGTGATTTCAGCTGCAACGAGTTATGACTCACTACAAACCACTTAACCTAAAGGCGTTACTAGCAGACTATTTACTTAACCAGAATCTGACATGAGTAGATTAGGGTTGGTATTCATTCATTCCACACATGCTGATTATGAATTTATGAGTATCTTCTGTTTTGCCCTTATTCAACCTGTGTTGGACCTGCAGGTTAATACTTAATACAAATCATGTGCCAATGGAATTAATGAATGATTAATGTTGCCATTTCACTTCCTACACAATTTCTTATTTCCATGCTTTTTTCATCTTCATCCTAGATACTTATGGAACATTTTCCATTTGCAAAACACCACTTGAATTGAAAAAGAAAAGAAGAAAAATCATTGGAAGGAGAGGAAGAATGCATTTTTCTTTCTTTTCCTTGAAATAAAGAAGAGTGCAATTTTCATTCAAGTAAATTTATATATTTTGGCATTTGAAATGCAATGATATTTTGATTTTTTTTGGGGATCTGTGATGCTTTCCCTTGTTAGTATATCCAGGATTTTCCTCAAAACATGAGAAATTTCCAAAAATCTTTAAAAAATAATTTATTTTAAAGGGTTTTGATGGTAGAAGAGAACTATAAGATGAATCTATAAATGATCTATCAAACCCATTGATCTATCAACAATTTATGTAAAAAGAATATTTTTTTGGTAATTTATGTAAATAAAAATAATAAAAATAGAACAATCATCTTAAGAATTAAAATTTAAGAATTGCATATGGTATGATATTTATCTTAGAAATTCAAATGCATATGATATACTTTTAAAATTATTAGTTAATAAATTAATTTACTATAAATAAAAATATATTTATTAATTACAACTATATATATATATATACAAATTTAAATTAACTTAAATTGATAATTTTTAAGAAGCCATCTAGCCATTAGCTAGCATATTAAGAATTTGAGATTTAATTAACTTATATCTTTGATGATATACAAAAGTAAAAATAATAAAAAATTAGAATAATTGATTTAATAAATAAAATATAATTGTTGCATATGATTTGTGTCTTGGATTCTTGGGCTTATGGATCTTCTAGAATTCCATGTAACTAATATGTATTTTAGATTAATTATATACAATTATTAATTAGCAATCTAACTTAAATAAATAATAAAATATTAATGGTTTTATATATAATTATTAGTAAAGTTATTCATTGTATGACATCTACATTTTTAGTAAATCCATACAGAATGTCTTGATATATTGATTGTAATGTATCTCTTTGTATAAATTTTTAAAGCATGTGTTTCCTATGTATTTGTAACCCGTTCAAAGTCATTTTAACCCTAAATTTATTAGTTATTAATTTATATGTGAGATTTATAAGAGTTCTATTAATGTTTCAATGTTTTTTGAGCCATTGACGTTTCAATGTGTGTCAAGACCTTTTCACCATATCCAATGCATTCCAACTTTACCAATATAGTTCACAATAGGGGTGTTCATAGGACCGTTTTATTATGGTTTGCTGTGGTTTCTAATATGGTTTGGGGACTTTGAACCCTTCTATGAAGAGGAACCTTTGGTACAGTGTACTACCAGTTTGGGGTGTTAATAATGGAATATATTAACAAGTATGACCCAAACAAGTATGGATTTAGAAACATTTAAATAAAGAACAATGGGATATAATTTACATATAAATCTATTAATAAAATTGCAATAAAGGATAAATCAGTTTATTGTTGACAATTTAAATATGTACAATGTATAACAAAACCAAAAACCTTAAGAACAAGGTAAAATAATCAATTAAATAAATGTAGTAAAAAACAATAAAAACATTCTCATGTAAAACATATAATTGAACATTCTACTATAAAAAAAACATGCATACATAAACATATAATTAAAAAAATAAATAAATCATAATTTTTTTTTGTTCAAAACTCTAAAAATGGTTGATATTTTACCTTTCTCTTGAGTCCAAAATCAAGTCCTTGTTCAGTTGTTCCTATACTTCTGGTTCCTCAGTGTTTAATGTTTACAATTGAACACAAGTTAGAATTCAAAGACAGAGATAAAGGGGTTAGGGCTTTTCTTTTTCAAAGAGTAGAAGGAATGAGATGGAAAGATGAGAGAGATATTCTAGTAGTCAACGACAAGTCGGTGACAATTGTGGGAATGGGGCAGATATGGTTTGGTTGAATAGAGGAAGAGAGTTTCTGGTTTCCTAGGTTAGGGCTTTTGTAAGGGTTGGAACTTGGAAGAGAGAGAGAGAGAGGAACTACGATGATGGTGGAGTGGCTAGAGGCGAGTCAGCAAAAATGTTTTGAGGTTTTGTTTTTTGAGATGAGAGAGAGGGCGAATGGACGTCGGAGTGACCAACAACCGGTGACGATGTACATAGAGGGAGGGATGGCTTTAGTGTTCTGTTGAGGAAGAAAGTGAGAAAGAAAGGGGCTACGGTTAGGGTAGACCTGTTCATGGGCCGGCCCGGCCCCGGTCCGACCCCCGGACGGGCTTGAACAGGCTTTTTGGCCCGCGGGCTTAACCTCGGGCCAAAAAGCCCGACTCGCATAAAATTCAAGCCGGGCTCGAGCTTTACCAAATAGACCGGCCCGAGCTCGGCCCGGCCTGACCTATAGTTAAACCTAAGTAAACCCGGCTCGACCTATAGTTAAACCTAAGTAAAAACCCTATGTGATGTCCATTTGAATAAATTTTTTGATTTGAGAAGGTTGTTGATTCACTTGTAGGCCCATTGTTCATTTAAATAGGGGAAAAAACATCTGAATTAAAATAGATAATGTTTATTTGAATAGGGAAAATTTTGATTTTCTTTTATTAGGTCGGGGTTCGGGCTCGGGCTTGGGCTTCGGGCTTTTATCAGGGCCGGGCTTGGGCCCAAGTTCTAGGCCCGTTGGTCGGGCCGGGCTCGGGCTCGGGCCTATTATTTTTCTGTTAATGGACACTAAAAGCCCGGCCCGGCCCAGCCCATGAACAGGTATAGGTTAGGGTATCAAAGAGAAGAGAGGGAAGTCTTTAGTTTTGTCTTTATTCTTTACTCTTTTTATTTTTTTTTTATAAAATAAACACTTTGATTATATATTTATAATTTAAATTCTAAAATATTTGATATATATGTATGTATATATATATATAATTATATATTATATTATATTATATTATATTATATTATATTATGTTATATTAATATGGTTTACAATTTGGTTTGGTTTGGTTTATAAAATTTAATAAACCAAACCGAAACTATAAACTGTATTTTTCAAAATTATGAAACCGAACCAAATTGTTTTTATTATAGACTGAACTAAACCACAAATTCAGTTTGGTTTGGTTCGATTTTACGGTTTGAATGGTACAATGAACACCCCTAGTTCACAATACTGTTGGATATAAGGTTGAGTATAGGCTAAGTGAATTGGTTCAGGTTGAGGCAAATTCACACTGAACCTAATCCTTTGACCCCCTAAATCATAGTTTGCTTATATTCTATAATGTGTTATCTAGCTTGTCATGCCATGGCACCTTAATTTTATTTCTCTCTCTCCCTAGCTTGAAACTATGTTTGGTTCCGTTGTATTTGTAGTGCAAATTTCATTTGCACTGGTGTAAATGTATGGGAGTGCAAATAAGTCGAGTGTTAATTCTGGTTTACTTTTGCTCCAAATGAAGTGTCATTTGTTTGTGAAAAATAAAATAAGAAATAAATTGGTGTGGAACCACCTTATATGCAAGAGAATGGAGGTAGGAGAAGAGTTAGTTACTTGGAAGTGAGGTAGGAAGTAAGATGGTGTTGTTTCCCACTTTATATGAGAGAGAATTGAGGTAGGAGGAAAGTGATGCCAATTTTGCAGAAACACAAAATTTACACTGTTAATGAGTATAAATGAAACAAAAAAAAAATACAAATTTTGTATCAAGTAAGAGTGAAAATCATAATTACTAACAAATAGAGGCAAAACTGAATCATATACAAAATTTGTATCTAGTTCAGATTTGCACAGCAACCAAATGCAGCATTAACTTATTTGAAGCTGTTTTTGTCCTTAAACTTTGATAAATGCACAAATATGACAAAAAACTTGTAATGAAATATTCATGAAAGTTTCTATAACATGTGACCAAGTGGTATTGAAGAATTTCCAAATACAACATTTACTATGAGCAAGGGTATTGTTCACAAAGTTGGATATGGCCAAGTTAGAATCAGTTGGATGTTATAGATGGACTTGGCAGACCCAATAGAATAAAATCAAACCAACCCAATTATATAGGTCCTACGTCTGTGTTACATGTATTAAAAAATAAGGTTTGTATTACATATATTACTAAAAAAAATCTGTATTACACGACTCAATTACAATTGACTCGATGTTGATTTTGTATATGGTTATATGTATGTATTTATGCTAATATATTATGAAAATAGCCCCTATGGTTTAACGTCTATCTTATTATATACTTGTAATATTAAGTTTATTATTGAACTAGATGTTAAACTTAGAGCTGCAAACTATACACGCCTCATTGGGTTAGACCCAATAGTTTTGATTAACAATTGGGTTGGTTTCATTTAATTATTTATAGGGTTTGGTTCGGGGTTGGTCATTTTGGCCTGGCCAAGCAGTTTACAAATTTTAGGGCCGGGCCGGGCCTGGGCCTAATACTTCAAGCCCAGTGCACCCGCATATATTTAAATATATGTATTTTATACATAATGTATGCATATGCATATATGTTAGTTTTGTTATATTATATGTTTTATATATTTAAATATTACAATACTATACTTAATATAATATTATATGTATATACTATGCCATTTAATATAATATTTTATATATAAAAGATATAGGTCAAGCCCGGCTTATGCCTAGGCTATAGGTGGTGTTTGGTATAGTGGCACCGGCTCAGACCTAGTTTAGTTTAGGATTGGTTATGCACATTTAGGTGGTATTTGGTATAGTGGTGTTGTGTTGACATTGTATTTTGATTTGATCCATGCAAATTTGTTTGAGAAAGAATCCCATGTAAATCCTATTTATATTTAACCCCTCATCCATGTTTATAGCTTGACATCATAATCCTTGTTTATTAGCTTTTGGCTCCCTTGAGAAAAAACCTTGGCTCTACCCCTGTTTTTTTGCTTTGAAAACAATAGCAAAATTCAAGAACATTTTTTTTCTAATTTGGTGATTCCAAAAACAAATGAAAACATTTGTCCGTGTATGAAAGTATAAAAAGCAAAAGTGTGTTTATATGAGGTAGTTTTTATTTAAAAAAAAAATGAAGTAAAAGTACAAAAGTACAAAAATAATCTTTTGATAGTTCATGATTTTTACCTTTTTCGCATACTTTATACTTTCTAAAATGTATATACCAACTAGACACGGTATTTATATACTTTACCGCATGACAATATATGGATGCCATATGAAAGCATATATACATCAATGTATTCATGACATGTATGTATGACAGCATATATAAAAACCATATGCCAATTGACGATAATCAATGCCAACTATATGCCATATGGTAGCATTTATGAATACAATGTGGCATTTTGAGTGTAATCAAATGACAAATATATGTCACATGCTATTATATATAAATGTTATATGACATTTGAATGCAATCACATCCTAATATATAGGGAGAGAGGGGAATAGAAGTATAGAACGAGAGGGCAGCACATGGAGGGAAAAAAGAAAAGAAACATTGAATTTTATTTGCTAAATCTTAGTATTGATGCTTTATCAATATATAAGGAAAATATTGATATCTGAAAAATATAATCTGATCGGATACCAGCTTTATGATACTGATTGATTGTTTTTATAAGTGAAAATACTATTAACAGAAATAAGAAATAAATTGTTCAGTACAACCGGGGGATACTGATTGATTGGTTCCAAGTTTTTTCGATATCATGTCTTTTCGGTTTATAGTTGAACCCCACTGGGATAAGTATTTCTGTGCTTGACTGGGGCTTAAAATTTTACGTATACAAATTCTACATTAACGAAATTCAACAAGTGACTAATATTATTATCCAACATAATATAAAGATAGTTTTTTATGACCCTTAACCCCTTGTAAGTTGTTTTAAACACACAAACAACCCCTTTGCAATATTCTTCCACGTGCGAGCTCCTATTTTCTATTAATAATTACTGATTATTATAATAATTACTAATTATTACAGTAATTAATTATTGTAATTTAATAGTTACTGATTATTACAATAATTTAATAAATATATAATTAGTGATTATAATTAATAATTATTGTTATTATAAATATTGTTAATAAATTTAGTAATTATTGTTATATTAAAAATAATTAAAAATGTTATTAAAAGTATTTTTATTAATTATTTAATAAAATATTATAATTACTGACTATTATTGATAAATACTGTTAATTTAATTTAATTTTGGTAATTATTAATTTAATGAATATTGTTAATAAATCCTATTCATAAATTTAATAACTACTGTTATATTAAAAATAACTAAATGATATTATTAAAACTATCATTAATGATTATTTAATTAAATAGTATAATTACTTACTATTATTGATAAATGTTGTTAATAACATTCTGACAACCGACAGTTTAACCGTCCAATTCGAACAGATAGCTCGTTCTGACAACACAACTTACAAGCAAAAAATTACGGAACCATTTTGGCCACTGGTTTTCGGGTCGACGGTTCGATCATCCGGTTCGAACAGATAGTCTGTCTGACAACAAAATTTATAGGCAAAAAATTAAGTTTGTGAGGTCCATTAAGTAGTATCATACATGTTATGTCATTTGAGCGTGTGACACATATGGCCCGAAAATGGAACCGTTTTGGCCACTGGTTTTTGGATCGATGGTTCGACCGTTCAGTTCGAACGGACGACCTGTTCTGACAACAAAAAATTACAGAACCGTTATGGCCACCGATTTTTAGGTTGACGGTTCGATCGTCCGATTCGAATGGATGACCCATTATGACAACAAAAATTACAGGCAAAAAATTGAGTGTGTGAGGTTCATTGAGCAGTATCATACATGTTATGTCATTCGAGCGTGTGACTAATATGACCAAAAAATGGAACCATTCTGGCCACCAATTTTTGGGTTGACAATTCAACCGTCCGGTTCGAACGAGCGGCCCGTTTTGACAAAAAAAATTAAAAAAATAAAAAAACAGCCAAAAACCATTGAATGGGTCAACGGGTTGACAGTTTGACCATCGGGTCAATGGGTCGTTGACCGATTCAACAGTTTTTGGCTAGGGATGAGGTAAAACGAAATTGGTTGCTTGGATGGTTCCCGATTAAAAAAAAAAAACAGATGACCCATTATAACAACAAAAATTATAGGCAAAAAATTGAGTGTGTGAGGTCCATTAAGCAGTACCATATGTGTTATGTCATTCGAGCATATGATTCATACATCCTGAAAATGGAACCATTTTGGCCACCAATTTTCGGGTCAATGGTTCGACTGTTCAGTTCAAATGGATGGTCTGTTCTGACAATAAAAATTAAAAAAATAAAAAAACGACCAAAAATCATTAAATGGGTCAATGATTCGATCGCTTGGGTCAATAGGTCGTTGACCGATTCAACGATTTGTGGCTAAGGACTCATATTAGGATAAACGGAACCAATTGTCTGGATGGTTCTCAATTAAAAAAATAAAAAAACAGCCAAAAACCATTAAACAGATCAATAAATCAATGATTTAACTACTCAAATCAACGGTTCCATTCCAACCCCTCCGCTAGTTGTCAATTTAATTTGAATCTATCCATATGGAGACAGCTATGAATAAGCTATGGAAAAGACAAGTTTGTTGTTTTCCTCTCTTACTCTTGTAGGACATAAATGATTTAAGCTCAATGGGCTCATCTATGTTAGGGAATTGGGAAAATCATAAAATGCTCTCTCTCACATAGACACAAATTTAGAAGGGTGAGCAATTCAATTATTTTATTGGTATGAACAACTTAATTTTACTCTTTGTAATAATTCAACCACATTAGAAATATACCAGCCTTGTTTATTATTAAATCTATATTGTACTTAAAAAAAAAGGATTGGATCCTCATTAACAATCTCTCTCTCCCACACACACACTATTGTGCTTCATGACCCTCTCAAAATTTTGAAAAAGAAAAGATTTTATAAACATAAAAAATCATGACAAAAATACAATGATATTGGTATCAAGTGTTTCATTTACATTACAAAGTGAAATGTGTTGTATTCATTAATTGCATTACTATATTAATTACCCCATATAGGGCATGTTTATTGGTTCATTGAATGGAGCAAATAGACCCAAATTCCAATCCACATTGGTCTGGGTTGATTAATGACCAAATCCAAAAATGGATAATGGATTTGATATAGGTTTATGCCCATGGATCTTATTCGGATCTAAGATAGATATGGATTTGTGTAACACATTTAAGATCTTAACACCTCTATAAAATAAAGTAATTTTTTATATATTATAGTTACCTATTTACTTGCATATCCGGTAAGACTTTAGTTATATTTAAAATCAATTGACTTGTTAATTGGGTCGAACAGTTTGATGGCTTGACTAGTTCTAGGCCACTGATCCATCAATATTTTTTTAAATAAGTAAACAATTTAGGGGCTAAAATGGACCTAGAAACTTAACCAAATGACTGGGTCAGACCAGTTTAACTAATTGGATCAGTGATGGGTTGAAAACATTATATTGACAGTTGCTTTTATTTAACATGCTCTTGAAGGTGTAGTAATCCTTATTAATTGTTATTTCTTTGTACTTGTAGGAAACATAGTGGATTTTCTAGAGGGGCCCCTGTCACAAGGGAATGAGGGATGATGCATTTTTAAGAAGCTAACAAGATTTAGAGACCATTTGATAACAGCTGAAGTTGTGTTCTGAATGATTTATTGCTTTGTCTTAGTGGATAAAAATAATTAAGTAATAAATTAAATATTCTAGATTATAGTAAGTTATACAACTTCAGCTTCAGCCCTTAAGGAGCTCTAAACTTATTCACTAAAATCTTATTCACTAAAAGATAAAGCAATAAGTTTTTCAGTTTAACCATTTTAGTTGTTATCAAATGGCCCCTTAATTTGATACCTTATTTATCGGGCACCGATTCATTGAGAATTTTTTGCAATGTATGGGATGATGCATTTTTAAGAATCTGGTACCCTAGACAAACCAATATGTGCATTGCATAGATCCCTTCTAGTTATTCTTAATTAATAATAATTCGCAACCTGGTACATTTATTTCATAACAACAATTTAGACCAACCCCACTATATAACTAAGATAGGTTTAAAGATTTCAATCTTTGTATTCTTTTTTTTTTTTCTGTTCAGATAATATTTTATTCTTCATAAGAACATAGCATTGATGACTAGGAAGTGTCCTAGTGCTGTTTTGACTAATTATCATTAAATGAAGTCATTTAACAAGAAAAATCTAGAATTGCATAAAGCATCCAGCCACACATCGGAAATATCTACTGTATATGTTTGTTAAATTAATGTGGAGAATGGAGACATTTCCAATGTGCGCGACTGAATTTCGATGCATGCTTTCAGAGTGTGTACAGAGTTTTTGCTTGCAGAAAATCCTGTCGCCAAATATACTCCCATTAAATTAAAATCCTTAAGACCTTATCTAACAAAGCACAATTCAAATTTCAAAATGTAACTTTTAAATCAAATTAGTTAAACTAATAACCAAACTAAATAAAATCTTTACCACCAAAATAACTAACATTTCTGCTACTCATAAAATTTGAAGACCAACCATCAATAAAAATAGCTGGAAATTAAGTAAATAGAGGACACAACAATAATAATTAGAGCTTGAGGGACAAATCAACATCTTGCATGTCATTTTGATGAGTTTCTGCACTGCCAACTCCCAAAAGATACCCACCAATATCAGACACCCTATTAGCTGCAATGTTTGTTGAAACAAATGGGGAGCCTCTCAACAAGTTAACAAAAGCATTACCATCAAATCCATTCATTCTCATCCCACCTTCATTGCTCTGATGATCATCTATCCTCAGTCTAGGGACTAATATAGGTTGTGTGCTTACAATATTAGGTCTTGACAACTCACCATGGCCATACCTAAGATTCAAAAGAGACAATGGGTAGTGCTGCTTGTGAAACACTGATTTCTGACCTGCAGATGAGTATCCAAGACCCAGTAAAGATCTCTCACGTCTGTGAGCATTCTGATGCCCTCCAAATGCTTGTGGACTATGGAATGTCCTGTTACAGAAGAGACAAGTGAAAGATTTCCGCCCAGATGGTTTCTCAAACTGTGGTTGTGATGTCAATGTTGATGGCTGAGAAGAACCCACGTTTGAAGAGTCTATTGAGTTGCTTTCTTCTTTGGAACTTTCACCCATCTCCTCATTATGGAGCTTCTGATCAAGTAAGCCCTTTGGTTTCAGAATGGCTTCCAGTTCTTGCTGATCTGCTACTTCTTGAATCTCTTCTGTTTCTGCTACTACTTGAACCTTTGCTTTCTTCTTTTTCTCCTGCATAACTTCATCATATGGAGAAGACTTGGCTGATGATGCTGTCTCAGAAAAAGAGGTCTCTACCAAATCTTCCAATTCAGCAGCCATTTCGAAAATTCAATCTATGTTGTTGTGAAAGTGAAGTTGTTGGTTCCCTTTTAAAGACTGAAGATTTCTTTAGGTTTACTTTAGAAGGAATGAATGTTTTATCTCTTTTCTATGAGTTGTAGATTACCCTTGTATTTATTGCATGGTCTAATCTTGGCTTTAGGGCTTTTCTGTATATCCATTCTTAAATAGAACGTTAATAAAGTGGGCACTTTAAGCTACTCATAATTTCCATAAAAAGAACCAGCTTTTCTCTATCTTATTTATATTATGAATATATGGGATTGCTATTGGAGATTATTTCCTTTTTGGGTTCTCTGTATGGTCTTCGGATCACCTGCCCGCGAGAATTCTGCCCACGTCTATCCACAACACACTACCCCCGTGAATTGGGAACATCTCCCCCTGCATAAAACATAGGAGGATGAGATGTTCTCCATGTGTGGCTGTGATGTTATGTTTATAGACATGGACAGAGTTTGTGTGGGTAAGAGATCCGGACTCTAGTGTATAGTGTAATTTTCTGTGGTTTTTTAAGTGGGTTCCTTGGCCCATGCTAACATACCTTGATGGTCTAGGAGGAAATACCGAGCCTGGATCTGCTGCTCCCACCGCTGTGTGTAAGCAGCTATGCATCCCAAGTGGGAATTACCAAACACTAGAGTATGTGTCAGGATCTACTACCACATCTCACCTCCAGACTGGGATTCACCATAAAGTGGGATCTGCCATGTATGAGATGTGTGGTGTTAGATGATGTTGGGATGGTGTAGGAACACATTTTGTTTGCAGGTGATTCGGACTCTATTTCCTTGTGAACAGTGGTGGTTGTGCTTGTATTGTGTACACATATGGCTAGAACTGCTCTCTCTCTCTCTCTCTCAAACATGTGGCTAACCTTTCCATGAGAAAATGCCTAAATAAATATTTAATTTAAAATAGAAAATGCATAAATAGATATTTAATTTAAAATAAAAACACATGTAAAGCAGTAAGTCTCACCTTAAAATGATGGTATTTTATTGGGGATAGGATTTAGTAGGTACAATATAGTAAGTAGGATCAATGAACACTTGACAAATATTCTGACAATTGTCAAAAGTGATTCTTAGGAGTATTTTAAGGGATATGTGTCAAAAATTATCTCATGTTCTTTAATAACAAATCAAATCTAATCTATTTTCAATTTCTCAACTAAAATAAAAAATAAAAAAATCCAGCACAGAAGGCTTTTTAAGACGTTATATTGTCGTGGGTCATACTCTTCTTGATCAAATGAGTTGTCAAATTACAAATCAGACCTAATTAATCTCCTAAATCAAAAAACAAACAAAAAAGCTTTTGTCCATTTTGAACTAGATCTCCTTTGTCTCCACTTGGTTTCAATCTGCAAAGTGAAAAATACACATTCTGCAATTTGAGGTTGTAGCGTTATCAAGCAGTATTTCTTTCAAACTTTGCCTCACATTTTGCTTTTGTTTTTTACACAAGGCAGGATCAAGTGTGATAGAGACGCTGTAGGATCATGACAATTGTATAATATTTTTAAATCCTCGATTAATGATGTTTGGATAACATGTTTCGATCTTGGATTGTGAGCAGTGCTTATCCTGAGTAGCATCATTTTCTGCGTGTACAAAGCACAACCTATCGTCATGTCTAGGGGCTATGATTATGATTTATATCAACAATAATCAAGCATTTACCGAGGTAGCCATGGAACCAAGGGTAATGTATAAAGCACTGAGAATCAAAGCACAACCTATCGTCATGTCCAAGGGTAATGCACCGGTGGATGGTGGCCACTGAGAATTCTATATACAATTTGTCATAAAGGATTGAAAGTTCAAGCTACTGAGAATCAAACTGAAGTTACAATTATGAATGGTTATTTCTATTATCTTTCCTTGAATGACAATGAAGCTGTGTTTGGTTTGACAGAATATGAAACAGAAAGTTGGGGGGGAAGTTCTCAAGGAATTTCACAAATTTTCTTAAGAAACTTTTCCTTGTTCAACTTTCTGTCTCAGCTATTTCTGTCAAACCAAACATAAGGCCAATGAAAACAGATATTTTGATCTCTTCCTTCTTCCCTTTTGTTTCTGGATCAACAACTGTGACCCTCAATATTAGCTATATATGTATTCAGTTAGCCTACCTTTGCTTTGTCTTTTTCTTCTTTGGAGAGGTTAAATATCATGTACTCATCAGCATACATGCTAGCCCATGTGCTAGAGTCCATACAGAGGGCATTTAAGAGTAGCGCAAAGAAGTAGCTTATACAAGGTGTAGAAATTAGGAAATACAGAGCAGGGGACTTCCCTGCCCTGAATTCTTAGAGTCATCCAACCACAATCAAGCTCTGCCTGCAGCTTTCCTTGGACCTTTTGGGCCAGTGTTCTATTATCTCAAAAATCTATTCATTTCTTTTCTTCCATGTCAACGACATCATCACATCACCACAAAATGGAAATATGCCTTGCAGAGTCTTCTCTTTCTTAGTAAGATACTTTGTGAGAAACAATTCTCTGGTAGATAAGGGGAAATATCAGATGACACGAAAATGTTCATAAGTGTTCCCACAAAACAAAAAAACATTTACAATGATGGAAAAGATAATAAGCTGTCTCTTTTACTCTTCTGCATAGGCAACAAAAAAAGTACAGGAATAGCAAAACCTTTTCTGTGAACCGATGCAGCATTAAATGTTTAGCACTCAGAGTAGCATTCTGCAACACACGTCACTTAATGGATCCCTCAGCCTAGGAATATTCTAGAGTATTTTTGTTAACATTTTATGTTTTAAGAGTACTTTCTTGTAATTTTACTTAATGTCAGTGCAGTCAACTCTAATGGTTATTGTAGAGATGTAGAACAATAATGTGGTCCCCACTGTTGCATGTCTATTTATATTGCTGTTAGTATGTCAGCTGGATTAGTTGGTAGTTATTTTCTGTTATTTATAGCTTATGTAAGCAGTAGGGGTAATACTGAATTTTTACCATGTTTTAACTCATTAACATAAATAGTTGAATGGGGTGACAATCTCAGTCATGACCCACACTCTTCTCTGAATCTTTTCTCCTCTTCTTGTTTCTCTCTTCTTCTTCTCTTCTTTTTTTTTTTTTTTGATCAAGAACACCAGCTTCATTAAATTAAAAGAAAAGAGGGAATATGGATACAAAAGGGGAGATAAAATATCTTAGCTCCCCAAAAACAGAAAACAAAGGGAATGCAAAGAGAAAAGATAAAAAACTAGCCCAAAAACAGACTCCCTATTCACTCCTTGCTTGGCCAACCCATCCGCAAATGAGTTGGCACTCCCCTTCACCCAGCTGTACTGAATCTCAATGTCCCTACCCAACCATAAGAACTGTTTTTTTTTCATTGTCAAAGTTCCACAAACCACTGTCCTCTGTCTTCAACCAACTAACCACCACCTTCCAGGATCAAACGGCTGATATTTAATTCCTTTGCTCTTCGAATTCCTTCAAGCGCTGCAAGGATCTCA